GTCCTGTAATAGCCTGTGAGACCTAGGAACCCTCTCAATTCCTTAATGTTAGCAGGTTTAGGCTAGGATGCCACAGCAGCCAGCTTAGCAAGGTCTCTATGCAATCCCTTCTTAGAGATAATGTGACCAAGGTACTCCACCTCTGTCTTAGCAAAAGAGCATTTGCTGAGTTTTGCTAATAGCTGGTGGTCCCTCATCACTTCCAGAACTTCCCTTAAGTGACCCCAGTGAGTATTCATGTAGGACTGTAGACAATATATCATCAAAGAATACTAACACGATCTTTCTAATCAATGGTTTAAACACATAGTTCATGAGAGATAGAAAAGTAGCAAGAGCATTGGTTAATCCAAAGGGCATTACCTTAAATTCATACAACCCTAGGTGAGTCCTGAAGGCTGTCTGGTGCTCTTCTCCTTCCTTCATCCTGACTTGATGGTACCTAGCTCTTAAATCCAGCTTGGTGAAGACCTTAGCATTGGCCATTTCAGAGAACAAGTCCTGAACTAAGGGAATTGGAAACTTGTTCTTAATGGTGATCTCAATGAGGGCCCTGTAATTTACACAAAATCTCCATGTGTTATTGTAACACCCCAGATTTTTGAAACTTTTGAACTTATATAATGAAGATAAATTCTCATTAAATCCCAAAACATAATACAATAGAGTACGGGGTGCTATGCCACACCTGGGCTAGAGAACCCAGGTGCGCATGCTAACTAACTAATATCCTCGATAATGTAAATACATAAGCATGGCATGCAGGCTGAAAGGGAAAACTATCTACTCTACGCTCCAAATCTCTAGCGCGCTCCAGTGTCTACTTCTCTGTGCATGAAAACCAAATATATCTGTTCAGCGAGAGATGCTGGTAACCCACTCCAACGCGTTGAAATACATTATATATATATATATATATATATATATATATATATATATATATATATATATATATATATATATATATATATATATATATATACGAAAAGTCGTTTTGAAGCAGGAAGATATATACTTAGGAGACGCTAGTTTTAAAACCAGGAATAGACTCGACAAATAGGGATAAGCACATTCAACAATTATAATCAAGCATATAGAGATACTAGCATATATCCTATGGTCACAGATTCACTTCATCTCATTCACATCATCACTCCAATTCGTATCTCATCAGACGCAAGCACACTTTGGTGGCGACACAGGACCAATCGCATGCCCATACATGAGGGTCAGCGCATATAGCTCTGACACGGCCCCGCAGCACCCTGCCTCGTATCGCAATACGAAGGGGTCGATCGCAACCGACCGATGAACCGCAGCTCATCATAATGTTTGATCGCAACCAAACAGTGGACCGCAGCCCAAGAGTAGTCATTTGACCGCAGCCAGGAATATGAACCGCAGCTCATATAAAACGTTTGATCGCAACCAAACGGTGGACCGCAGCCCGAGAGTGTAATTCTGACCGCAGCCAGCTTCTGAACCGCAGATCAGGAATAACCAATTTGATCGCAACCAAATTGGGGTATCATGCACACATAACACATAGCAAGCACATGCAACCCACATTAACACATTGGGAAGGGGGAGAAATCGTATAACGAAACCTATGCGTGGTCATCCACATACAAGGAATAACCCTAAGGGGTTCATGCTTCTTTCACCTCGGCCAACGGGATACCAATTCCACTAGCATGCCAGATATGTATATATATATATATATATATATATATATGACTCGTTTATCCTACGAATGGTACCCGAAATATAAAACTAGACTTTAGGCACGATAGACGAAGTCCGTTGGGACGCCACGAGGGTCGGGGGAACATCAAACAGGGAAGCCGGGACCTCGAGGTGGGATAATTTCCAGCGGGTAGCCGGTGGGTGAAGGGTCACCCGCCGGTGACCACCTGCCCGCCGGCGGCGTTATTTCCGGCCGCGGGTAGGTGGCGGGTCCCCTAACCCCCACCTACCCCCCACTGACTCTTTTTCACAATAAACGCCCCGGGATCCTTTGTGGAACCCGAAACCACGCTTAGACACCTTTAAACGCAATTGATGACAACACGTAGACAATTAACGGATCAAAAGCAAGAATCATACGGCACATATCCTATCATAATTTCTAACCAAAACAACACCCGAGCATGCGAATTCCCACCCAATACAACAAGAATAACACCATACGAATTTCACGATACATCCTAGGGTTCTAATAATATTTAAATTAACAAGAACACAACTCATCTTTTAGTATTAAGAAACATCAAGATTCATCAAGAATATCACACCATCATCAAGAATCCCTTATCATCATCAAGATTATCAAGATTACACATAAAATCATAACACCAATTATCAAGATCACATCATCAATATCATAAACGATTCATCAAGACACAAGAATATAGAGGGAGGCCTAAGAGGGAGATCATAGCTAAGAAAATAGGTTTTGTTGAGACATGGGTTACCTCTTAGCCTTAATTAGATCCCTTGGCTATTAAGGCTCTTTTCTCTACGATCTCTTTTTCTTGATTTCTCCTACGTTTGGTGGTGGGGAATTCTTGGGAATTCTTGTGTGGTGTTATTTATTATGGTGTGGGTTCTAATTGCTTTCTAATCCCCTATTTATAGAATCAGGAATCCTAATCATACTCTGAATAATAAAGGCCTACTTTCTTTATTCCTAATAGGTATATAGGTCTAGGATTCCTAATTACAATCTGATTAGTAAAAGGTTTACTCTCTTTATTCCTAATAGGCTTAAAAATCTAGTTTAGGCAAGGGTCCACAGCCCAAGGTGGGCCACATTAATTAATTAAAGGGAATCCTAACCAAATTAAATCCTTTTTAATTATTATTAACGTAATTAATTAAATAATTAATTCGGGATTGAAGGCCGTAACACGGGGTGTTACACTCTCCCCCCCTTACGAGAAGCTTCGTCCCCGAAGCTTAGAAATCATCACGGGGATAACGAGTCAATATTAGTACGGTGATCATAAAGAGAAGGTATTTTACGGGGGAAACTACATGATTGTATATTTATGTGTATTGGGTTTTTGGGAATGATTGGGTTAAAAGGGTAAAGAGAGCAGACGGTTCGGGCTTCAAGCTTGAGGACAAAGTGAATTTAGGAATGAGGATCAAAGTTTTCAAAGTTGCAACTTAGGAAGTGGGGTTGCTACCTTGTATGGAATCGTTTAGAATGGGGAATCAAGAATGAGGTTCGGAGGGTAGCAAGGGTTTTGCAATAAGACGGGGTTCGATTGTCAAAGAGAAGGAAATGAATTCGGCTAGGATGGGTTAAGGGTTCTCGATCTCAAGTGACTACTCTGATTTGATGCTTTGATCACGACGTATTGATGAACCGATGATTCTTTTTCTTTGGTGTTGGCACTGTTTGACTTTAAGATCTTTGTCAGACTTGCTTCCCCGGCTAAAGTCTCATCATTCTTTTCTATCTTTGAGGGAATCTCTCGTGATGATTCAACACTAAGTTCTCTAATGCACCCAAGGTCTTGGCCAAGTTTGGTCAACGAAATCAATCTTTTAGGGCGCACCTTCCAGATCCTTCCCAAAGTTTCTTGAGAGTCAATTAAACTTCAGGTTAACTTTCTCTTCCTATTGAATCTCATTTCTTCTTTGGTGAATGAAATCCCTAGTAAGGCTTCATATCTTTCCTGGATTTTGGCTTGCTGTGCCTTTTGTGTTACCTGTTTAGTGATGAAGGTGCCTTTGCATGCTCCTTTTCTTCTTGAGGTGCAGTTGGTTACCTGATCTTGTTGCGGAATGGCTAGGTGATTTTACGAGTTATCCTATTTCATTGTTGGTCCTTAAAAACCCTTGAGGTCTTGGCGCCGATGTGCTCGTTACCCCTTTTCCTTAGCACCACGAGCGACGCCACTCTTGATTTTACATAATTTGTAAGGAGCCATCTGATTTTACTCGTACGATGTCCATAGTTTGAAGGAGTCATGGTCCATCCTTAGCGTTTTGACTTTGAGGCCCTTGTGAGTCCTTAGCACAAGTCCCAACTCGACTCCTTGGTTCGCATAATCCTTCTCGCCAATCATCCTTCGTTGGTTGCATTGTAGAGTCCAACTACAACTTCATGTGTAATGCAATTGGTTGCGTTCTTCTGAAGGTGTTTCGCGGGTCAAGGTCTTTTACCGAGGTCATCATGTTTAGGCAACCCATGATTCCTTACTAAAGACTCGCATTCATCAATCGAGGTACGCAAGTGCGTCATGAAACAATAAAACGAGGAGTTAGGAAATCAACACACACTACACCAAATCACGCATTTAGCGGCGGTTTTTACATATATATGAATCCACCTGCAAAAACCTACCGTACATTTTTTACACAGTCAAGCATGATTTATTTGTATTTAATCACAAAATACAGTACTTTGAATACATAAATTTGAACCCCAAACTTAATAGCTAATCACCCGAGAAGTTTTACCCCGAACTTAAAAGCCAATCACCCTTGGCTGACATGCATGTACTTCCAATACATGACACTATTTATCATCAATCACAGAATAAACAAACTTGAGAAGATTACTCAGAAACAGTTGGAAGAGATATATATATATATATATATATATATATATATATATATATATATATATATATATATATATATATATATATATATATATATATATATATATATATATATATATATTTATTTATTTATGATGATGCAGGCAGACACATACATACATCTTAATATGGATTTGATTGGATGGATGGTTAATAAATTAATATCATGGCTGGTTCCAGGCTATACCGAATAAACTGCTCAACCATGAAACAACACATTTCCTCGATCATATCTCCAAAAAATATAGACGATGAATATATTACAAAAAAAAAAAAAATGAATAACTACCTTCACAATGTTGTCATTCTTGGCCGCAGCAAGCAACCTGAGCTCTTCTATTATATTTCCAGAGATAAATGCGAGAGTCCTCCCCAACAGATATTACATGTTTTCTAGTTGAGGTATAAATGCAGCTGACATCTGATTTCCAAATTTTGACAGACCTGTTCAATTCGAGGGGAAAAAGTTTGATGTTATTGAAAGCAGAACATTTATGTGCATTTGAGGACGTAACAGATCGTTTCTTACCTCTGTATTTACAGACAACCTCGTGCCCATCGAGAATACGGATCTTAGAATCCCCAGATGTAATCATGACTCTGAGAATCATTCAACAAAAACTGCAAGGAAATGGTGGTCTGCTGTTATGACTATAGAATTTGCAGGTTATGAAATGAAGTTAGAAAGTGGAACAAGGCATTGGAGTAAAACCTGAATGCCAGTTATCATGTTGCTGTTTGATCTTTTTCTACCACCAATGTGTATCTCGGCATCTAAGGAAAGCTCGATTCCTGTATAAAGAACATAGAGGTTCAGAAACAAAATGTCAAAACGGAACAGAAAACAAGACAACCTTGAAGATCTAATTAATTGAAAAGTCTATTGAATAAGTCTGAATAGTTTTAAAAATTGCATGGAGTACCAAATGATTTATCTCTTTTCAATAAAATAAAATAACAAAGCTTGTGGATAAATGACAAATCTTTTTTCAATTAAAAATAAAATAAAATAAGCTTATGGATAAATGACTTCAGAATGTTCAAATTTCATCAGAATCTTAATGAGTTTATCGCTTACTCAAAGCATTCAACAGAAAGAGTTAAAATTAAAACAAATAGCTCAATTGATCAAATTTTTAACATCAACAAAAATAAAGGGTGAAAAACAATAGTGCACATGATAATGTACAGAATCTCATAGATAGGACTATAAGAGAATATAAGAATTACCTGGTAAATATATTACACCAAATACATACACAAAGAACTTGTATTAATAACTCGTATTAATAACTCCATTCCAGGAAGTTATTAGGGAAACACTATGTTGCCAATTGAGAAAGTAATGGACTTGCTACCCTAAGGAGAATGCAAATCTATCTAACAGATGTGTGTTTCTATAGAATTATTTTTATTCCTCTAAATATAATAGTTGTGCTAAAGGGTAGGAATTAGCGAGATTGACACTCAAAATTCAAAAATAAATCGACAGCTCACTGAAATTTCGCGCAAAAGATAGGAATTCATAGAAATGATTTACTAATCCTTCTGAATAAATGTAGTTTAAAAATGAAAAAAAGTGCAAATCTTAATCAGAATTTAGATACAAACAAAAATATATGCATATATATATAGAGAGAGAGGATATAGAATAGGAGAACCTAGAAAAAATATGCTGCAATGTCTTCTTCCTTCTGCTGTTTTCTACGATTAGGCTCTGATTTGCAATGTCTTCTTCCTTTGCTACTTTCTACGAATAGGCTGTGATGAAGTGAGGACGAGGGTTGATGATGGTAAGTCTAATTTTAGTCATATTCAACAGACAACAGATAACTTCAAAGGATAATGTGTATATACTAAATATGACCAAAACCCCATCTAATTGTTCTGTTTGGAACAAATGCTTAAGCAATTGCCAACTACAAACATCGAAAAAAAATCAAAAAGATTGCCAATCATATCTAAACTCATTTCAAGCTCTTGAGAGCTCATTGGTTATGCAACTATAGGATTTAGGCCCAGTTTTGATAATCAGTTTAAAATAAACACTTTTAAAGTAAGCCCCTTTCAATAATCTCAAAACAACTAATAAGGACTAAGTGTTTGCCATTTTAACTGCCGTCAAAGTGTTTTTCAACTTATTTCAAAGGGTTATCACTCTCTATACTTCTCTCCCACCATTCTATCAAGGCCAGGAGGAAGCTAACCTTCTCTCGGCTTACCTGGCCGGGAATGGCCTCTGGGTGGCTCCTTCTTTCAGCTATCAAGTCCAGCACGACCAGAGTATTATTCATTTAAGCTTGGCGCTTGGCAGGAGCTTTGTCTTTGCCTCTTTATACTAAAGTATTATTCTTGTATCCTTCCTAAGCCTCCCATATTTTTCCTCTGTTGCTTTCTAAATTTTATTTTATTATTTAATTTCTTTGCAGATTTCAAGCATCATAATGTGTATAACTACAATATTTGATGGTAAAACCAATTCATTAAAACACAAGTATTTCAAGTTCCCTCAAATCAAATGTCCAAAATTCAACTCTATACAATTTGGCCTATGAGGGATTAGGGTTAAGGGATCAGAAACGTGTCCAAATTATAACTAACACAATTCCAAGTTCAATTCTATACATACATATATCCTTTTTTTTTTTTTGAAAACTACATATATCCATTTGTTAGATACAATATTCAAATATATTGTAGTAGTAAAGTAGTAATTGAACAACAACAAACTGTAAAGGAGTAGACTAGTACAGTTACCGTAGCAGCAAAATGTATCTGAAGTGAAACTGAGCAGCAAACTGAATGAACGTAATCAAACTATTTTGGAATTGAACTCCGGCAGCGACGAACAAGAAATCAAACTCCGTCGGCTTGGGCTTCCTCGTGTTTGAACTCTGTTGTCTGATCGAATGAACAATTGAATGAACTTCGTCGACTGTTGAAGAATTGGGAATTGAATGAACGATTCAGTAATCGAATTCAGTATGGAACTCCATAGTCAGCTTCATCGTGTTCTAGAAATCTCAGGTATTGGAGATTTAGGAAGGATTGGACAATTTAAGATTGGGACACACGAGCGATTGAATTTGAGATTTAGGAAGGATTGGACAGTCTCAGCTTATAAAAGAAACCAGCGGTTGAAGAATTGTGGAATTTGAGTTTGGGAGAATTTGGGAGAAACGAGCTGTTGAAGAATAAAACCATTTCAATATATATTTTTTAATTTGAGTTTTAACAGCGGTCATATAACCGCCACTAAAATACACATCAAATTATCGTCGTTTAAGTTTTTAAATTTTAGTACAAAATTTAGAGGCGGTTGTTATAAATGCCACGAAATACTCATTTAGAGGCGGTTATATGTTATATATAACCGCCGCTAAATGTATGTCGGTAAAAATACAGTTTTTTGTAGTGACATTGTACCAATGGGCGCAAGGTGGGAGGTCGTCCGCCTGCCAAGCTCCTGTCAGGGTCCCGTCAAGGTCCCGTCAAGGACCCGTTAGGGTCCCATCAAGGTCCCGTTGGGGACCCGCGGGAAGGTGACTAGGAAGGGGAAATTTCTTCGCGAAAAACCCCGAGAATGCACAGGTTCAAGTCCCGGCAAGCCCTATGTTCGTGTGATCAACAAAAGGGATTTAAATACATAGAATGACTCATCGTACTATGTCATTGACCCTTGAGTACGAGTTCTAGATGAGTTAGGGGCTCTCGTATGTCCTTCCTGCTCAGTAGTTCGGTCCGGTTTCTAATTAGCAACCTCGTCACCTTCACAGGGTAGTTGGTTATAAGCCAACTTTGTCTTTTCTTGTCTTGATTATTGGCAAGCCTTTTCAGCTTTTCTTGAAATTTGATTTGTCGTCCGGTCCCTGTTTAATCCTTTAGTGACCAAATGCTTAGTGATGCCTTTCTCTTCCTTGGAATGCATTTGATTGGATGTACTGTGGGAGATAATTCCAGCTGACAACATTTCCTCAACCATCTTCTCTATTGTGTTTTTCTGCACAAAGGAGTACCTATAAGGTTTAAAGTTCACAGGTTTAGCTCTTGGCATAAAGGGAATTTCATGTTCAAATGGCCTCCTAGGTGGTAATGTCTTAGGCTCTACAAATAGGTCCTAGAAATCCTGTAAGATTCTAGTCAATTCAAGGTTGCTAGGGTGGGAATAAATCTGCTGGTAATACAGGGAACCATCGCCCCTGGCAAGTTGAGGTGTGCCTTGGACCCAAAACCCCTGCACACCTTCCTTCTTCCACCTTCTGATTTCCTTCTTAGTAACTGATTGTAAAGTGACTCCCTTAGTCATGCCCTTCAGAAGTACCCTTCTACCATCTTTGTGGAATGATATGCTAGGGGGCCTGGTGTGCAATTGGATTGGGGCAAAACTATTAATCCACTTCATACCTTGTACCATGTCACAACCACCTAGTTTTAACACTCTAAAGTCTCTTTCAAAAGCTGCATTCTGCACTTGCCACTTAAGGCCATCACACTTGAGATCACAAATCATGGTGTTCCCATTAGCTACTGTCACCATGAGAGGGCTAGACTTTTCAAGTATAATTCTCATCAGGTTAAGTATTCTGGGGGTCAAGGAAACTATGTGTGTAACACCCCAAAATTTTGAAACTTTTAAAACATATATAACAAAGGTAAATTCTCATTAAATCCCAAAAGTAAGCATAAGAGTACAGGGTGCTATGCCACACCTGAGTTAGAGAGCTCAGGTGCACAGGCAAACTAACTAAAATCCTCAAAGTAAAGTCAGTACATAAGCATGGCACGCAGGGCCAAAAAGGGGAAACTAGCTACACTAAGCTTCAGGACTCTAGCGCGCTCTGGTGTATACTCATCTGTGCCTGAAAGCCAAATATATCTGTTCAGCGAGAGATGCTGGTAACCCACTCCAACGCGTTGAAATACATTATAGGTAGATATATATAGATATACGAAAATCATTTTGAAGCAGGAAGATATATACTTAAGAGACACTAGTTTTAAAAGCAGGAATGGACTCAACAAACAAGGTAAGCACACAATCAATAATAATAGTTAAGGAGGATCATCATAAAGAATTTGCAGCTAAGGTCACAGTCTATATCCACATCAATTATATGACCATTTAATCATCATTCAATCATCATTTGTGATACTCAATGACACTGCACTGGCGCAACGGGACCAATCGCATGCCCCGAACATGAGGGAGTTGATCTCAACCAACCCTACCTCACGCAGCACCCTACCTCATAACACGGCCGACACATCACTGACGCGTATAGTCGGTGGGCCGTGATCCGCTTTACAATGGGGGACTTACGACCCTACACACCGTTGATGCGTACAGTCGGTGGACCGTAGCGAATCAAGCCCTACACACCGCTGAGGACTCAGTCGGTGGGCGAAGATCCTCAGAGACTACGGCCCTACACACCGCTGTCCCATCACTCGGTGTATCGCAGCCAGCTGTAGCCCTTCACAAGCCTGATTACTCAGGTCGGTAGACTACAGCCTTCCTCGGCTTATTGGCCCTACACACCGCCTGGCGCGTCCAGGTCGGTGGGTTATATCACCGAGGCCCATGTGGACCTGTAGTCCTATATAATCTTTATATACGTGACCAATCTCAACCAGCCTGGTTAACAGTTGGGATGGTTCTCAACCCATTCAACTGCCTGTATAGTGGACCGCAGCCCAATATAATATTTATATACCTGACCGATCTTAACCGGCTTGGTTAACAGTTGGGATGGTTCTTAGCCCATTCAACTGCCCGTATAGCCAACTTGATCGCAACCAAGTTGGGGAATCATG